ATAGTGATTGATATTATTGTTTTCACACCAAATTGGTGTAATTGACTATTGAACTCATGTATTGTTATTTTCATATTGCGCGCACGGGTAAGAATCAACATCTTTAATTGGGGCCTATTGTTTTCCTTACTTATTCAAATTAAAGAAAGATTATGGTATAGATTACTCGCTGAATAAATATATTCACGTTATTTTTTTTATTTTTATTGTAGATGATCACGGTCGAATACATTGACTTTACCTCTAGAGAATGGACAATTTCAGAAGATGACAAATATTGCATGCTTGTCAAAGAAATCCACGCGTGGATGACATATCCAGATTTTTCGGGCTTTAACCACTTTGAAGGAGTCCATTACCATATCGACTACTTTGAAGCCACCACTATGATATACTTATTTTTGGATAGTTTTCCTGGAGAAATAATGTGTCCAGGTGGCCTTTGATGTAAAAATTTTGGTACAAATCGGCTAGTTATCGTAGTAAGATACGGTGCTTAGGGCGACTTTTGCATAGTGCCACTTTTGGTAGGAGAACCTTTGTAATGCAACTTTTGTATATCTACTAGTCTCTAATCTATTTTTTGCAATGTAACCAAGTATATAAGAAATTTTTTAATTATCTTATATTTATTGATGCTTGCCTACTCCATACTCTACAAATTGCCAAAAGTTTTCTCTCTTCACGAAGTATACAAAATTTTAAAATCTTTTTACATAGAATTAAATGAGTAAATTAGGATTGTGACAGTTACGTCTAGCCATAACGCACTACTTGAACTACCCGATTTCCTCATCCACAACATGGACGTATCGGCTACGACCATGGGGACGTAAGTCACTTACCCACTAAATTAGGTGATGTCCTCATCGTCATGAATCTTCGAAGCTTAGACCTAATTGATCATATTTCTACCTCATTTTCCCATCTAGTGCCATGACAGTCTCATGTCACATCAAGCCTCAAGTCACTCCCTTGTGGTCCGTGACATATAGCTCTATTTCATTGGCTATTTTGCTGCTTGCAAAAATTGCTGTATGGTTTTCTTGTATCTATTCCCCGTAGGAAATTATTTTTCAACAAGCAAGGTTATGTTTTTGTTTCCAAAGCGGATATAAGCCAAACAACATCTGGAACAAATGTAATCTTGGATTGAAATAATCCATACCACAAAAAATTTGTTCTTTCTCATTACTCGCTCCCATCCCCATATCTTTTCTGGTTTAAAAACCTTAGAACTCTATTTGAGTTATGAACATCTAACTTTGTATAAAGGTATCTAGGAAGTTATGAAAATATTTTGAGTTAAATTTTTTGCACCTGTTCTGCATCTAGAATCGAAGAATGATATGAACACACTTGTTCAACTTTGTTTCTGGACTCATTGAAATGGCCATGCATTTTGTCCAGTGCCCATCATAAACATAGATGTGCTTGTTTCTATGGTCATTCAGCTTTTAACTAATGCATTTTTCTTATTCTGGAAAGCGAAACTACAAAGAGTGGCCAAAGAATTATTGCTTGGCGAATCGTGAAGGGCTGGGCAAGAATCGCACCTCATTGACACTTTCCCTTAGCAAGTTGTGTTGAAATCTAGTCCACATCCAGTGGGTTGCTATCCTCAAAGTTCAGCATGCATATAAAAAAGAAAGCTAGGCCCTGTTTGATTAAACATTTTCCATAGAACTAGGAAATGGTTTTTCAACTTTCACTTTTGCACTTGTTTGATAGCAATGTTTTCCGTAGAATTCATTTTCTTGCTTTCCTTCCCACCTCATCCGAAATCCACATTTTTTGATGAATTGGTGAGAATTCCAATTCACGGTTACTGTAGTGAAACAAAGCCAAACGAACACCCAAAAATAGTTTTATTTCAACATTTTTCACATGAAAAATTATACAAATCAAACACAATAATTTACAATTCTCAGTAAAATAATTTCTAAACAATTCAATTCTTTAAAATTCATTTTTTTTTCATCTAAATTCTATCTTTGCAATCAAACGGACCCTATCCATTTAGATGGCTCAAGAGTGTTGTCTCCAGATTTCCAATTTTTTTTTATTGCAATTGCATATAGGAAATGCTTAGTTGAAATGTTGCTTTAGCTTTTTCTTTTGCTTCTTTGTTGGTGAACGTAAGATAAGCCATGCATCATAAGGACACGATAGCACACTTGGTAGATATTTCTAATTTTCTTTGAAGATAACTGAAATATATGAGGGTATTACATTTTTATAAGATCACAGGCACTAAACTTAGTTGGATTTTACTTTGGATTTGAAACTTTTATAGATGATTTGTAATATTTGTGATTGTTGCGGTAATCTTATTTGAAGCTACATTAATGACAGGAAATAGATGCGATGTTATATTTTAATAAGATCGCAGACACTAAATTTTATGTGTAGCATTTGCATTTGGTTTGTATATAAATATTGTTAGTAGCGGACGCAGACATTCAGAGTTAGTGGGACATGATCAAACTTATTAAAAAATTATGTATGCTACATAAACATATACAAGTGATCATTGTCATAGACTCACAAATCTTATATATATGATAAATAACAATTCTCAAAGAATTACAAATAATCTCGCATATTTGATGAATAATAATTTTCAAAGAATTTTCAAATTAAATATCGCAGATGACAAAATAATCTCAATTCTCACTCTCTCAATTATTCAGTTATCGTTGTAACTCTATTCTAATAAAAAATCCCAATTATCATTGCTGTCCAAATCTTTTTTTTTTTTTGGCTCGAAAACCCAAAAAAACAAACAAACTTGAAAGTTGGTAGGTCACTTGACCCACCAGGACCACGAATAGGTCTGCATTGTATAACTATCAAAATTTTCAAACCTTTACAAACTCATGTCTTATATGTGCACCGCTCATTTGATAAACAAACTGTGCATGAACCTGTACTCTGCTAAATGTTTTCGAAACGTTTGAATTCATGTCATGGTGCCCTCAAGCTTGCAAATAGTCCTTGCTAATATAGATACATGATATTGAAGTCATTAAAAGCATAACTACATATTGAACATATAAACGAAAATATAGTCTTATATCTTTATGGACATTTGTTTGGATAAGTCTGCTTAAATTTCTATTAGCAAGATTTAAGGTGTTGTCCTGGGAAGTTGCTATGGCATAAAATTTGAGTAATACTATCCTAGGGATTAGGGAACTCATCTTGGAGGAAGAGAGGGGTTCATGAACACTGGGCCACTGCTTGATAATGGAGACAATTGTAAGGATGATGATGAGGAGAAATGGGACAGGGATGATGAAGATAATGCTGACATGACGGATTTAATGTACTCTATGTGATCGGACGACACCTGCATGTCATTTGCATAAAGCCCTCCAGAAGTGAAATTTGAGAAGCCAGCAATCGATTCAAGTACTTTCTGTTGTGAAGCAGATGAATAGGAAGCCCCACATTCATTCCCATTCATAATCTCAGCATGTTTTGGCAGCAGAGGAAGCATTGTGGGATTCTGATCTAAGAGCTCTTCGGTTGCAAAAAATGGATATTCATCACAGCTGAAAATGGAATTATCTTCATGTTGAAGAATTTGTTGTTGATGATCAATGAATTGAGGCTGGCATCCTAATGGACATGCTGGTGCAGATTAACCTAAAAGTGAAAAGGCACCGTGACTCATCTAATTGGCTCTAAACTCACCAAAAACAAATTTTTGCGATGGTAGAGTTGGGGCAGGGATATACACTTTATACAGTTCGAGATATTGGGGGAAATTCAACTTTGGATTTGAGAAATTTGAAAATGTGGCTGGATCACCGAGGTTTTGAGAAAAAAATTTCTTCTTGATGGCTTAGTTCAGAAATTCTTGACTTCATCATCCGTTCTCCCAGGAAGGTACTTGACTATTTTAGCCCATCTGCAGACAACAAATATTATTTTTCTTGAAAATGTAAACACTGTGATATTTACAAAACTGTCATTGGATAATGGGATGGGATTTACCTATTGCCTAGAATTTTTTGGAGTTCAATTATGAGTTCTGCTTCCTAAGAAGAGCAACTCCCTTTCTTTAAATCAAGTCTGAGGTAATTTATCACTCTCAGTCTGCAACTCTTGGCACATCCTTGTAACCTTGCACACACAAGATAAACACACATCAGTGTCTGTATTTATTCATATACACACACATATTTGTATGTCGTCGGTGTTGTGGAAGCTCGTTTCAATATCTTTAATTCGGTGATTTTCGGGCACAGTTTATGTTACCTTTCTCTACTAACAAGCAACCTAAACTGGCTTAACCCATAACCAATATATTCACCTCGATTGCTTTTCAATCTCATCCAAAAAGGACAAGAAAGGGGTGATGATTTGCAGCCATAAGGGCAAGAAGAAAAACAATGAAAAAAGGGCACGAGGGAGACCAAAGCAAAGGCAGCCTTAGTGGTTTTTCACTGCCCAAAGCAACACAAGTTTTTCCTTCTTTTTTCTCAAATCACGCACAGAAAATGGCTGGGAGCAAGCAATGTACATATAGGAATAGGTTAGACTCTAATTGGGCAAAGAGAGGGGTTAAATGGGCCAAGACTCAAGAGTCTTCTAGTAGGTAAATATATAGACCGTGAACAACATTAATTACTTAAGCTACTTTTAACGATCCACATCATTTTCAGGTCGAACCTTCAGACTTGGTTGTTTATAATTCATTCACCCATCGGCCGAGGCCTGTGAAATATAATATGAATTTTTACATCAGTTGGCCCATGGATGCATTCACTATTTACACAGAAACACTTTTGGACTGTGGTGGATGGGATGGGGAGGGGGTTGCTGCGGAGTCCCTGATTTCAATGAATGGAAATGGATTTATTTTTATGTTTTAGCTTCCTCTTGGGGGAGAAAAACTCACATGCACAAGTTTCACATATACGAATACCTGCAATCTTGGAACTGAGCTCCAACTGCCATGGCCGTAGGTGGAAATGTAGTTTTTGAGTTTCTCATCTTCCTCTGGTTACCACAGTCCCCTCTTCACCTTTGTTTGTTGCAGCAAGAATGTTGTCCCATTTTCTCCCTATTTCTATAATGAAGGTGTACAGCAATGGCTGGAGATCATATATACACATGCAGGCAATATAAATGTGTTTTGAGTGAGTAGAAAGAAACAAGAATTGGATGATAAAAGCCCCGGTCCCTTTGGCCAACTTATGAAGCACTTATTTTAGGAGTTGTCAAATCTGCCATAGTCCTGTGGAGTTTGGGATTGTCTCATATAATGGGTCCTTAATTCTGCAAGGGTTTACAGGTCGCCAGATTGGCCAATAGTAGTCCAAGAGTAAGTCATGCGTGTTAAACAATCCAAAGAAAATAAAGAAGAAAAAGAAGGAGGCTAGGGTTTCATTGATATTACGTAATTAATTGAATGCTAAAAGTTGGTTTAACCTAAATACAAAGAGAATATATATAGGCTAAACAAAGGAAACTAAATAGGACTATTCTACCCTTAACGAATAATAAATAATCCTATATTTCTTAACATCTCCCCTCAAACTCACGATGCGGCAACTGCAAGCATCGAGAGTTTGCCAACTAGAAAACGAAAACGAGAAATAGAATACGACTTGGTAAAAAAATCTGCAAGCTGCAAAGAAGAAGAAACAAAGGGCAAAGTAATTGTGCCATGCTTGAGATGATGACGAGTAAGATGACAATCGATCTCAATGTGCTTAGTTCTTTCATGAAAAACCAAGTTGTGAGCAATCTGAATAGAACTTTGGTTGTCGCAATACATAGGAGTGGGATGAGAAAGAAAAACTTCTTGTTTTTCCAAGAAATAAGAGAATCACCCAAAAAGATACAGAAACCAGTAACAGACTTACGATCTGTGGGATCACTGCCATGATCAGCATCAGAGTATGCACGCAGCTCCAAGGAGGAGGTGGATGGAAATAACAGACTCTGAAAGACTGTACCCCGAAAATATCGCAAAATGCGAAGAACAGCTACCCAATGAACTGTAGTGGAAGAAGCAACAAACTGACTAACAATATGAACAGTATATGTAATATCTGGACGAGTAATAGTGAGATATACCAAGCTCCCAACAATAGTACGGTATAAAGTAGGATCTGACAAAGGTAAACCGTCAGAAGAAAAATACTTTGTGTTAACCTCAATTGGAGTATCAACAATCTTATTATCAGTAAGTCTTGCCCGCTCAAGAATATCTGCAACATATTTCGACTGAGAAAGAAGATAATCTCAATACCCAAGAAATATCGTAGAGAACCCAAATCTTTCATTTCAAACTGTCTAGCTAACTCTATCTTCAAAACTGAAATACCATCAATATCATCACCAGTAATAATCATGTCATCAACATATAAAGATAAAATGATACGACCTGCATCACTGCTCTTAAAAAAAAGAACAGAATCATGACTACTAGAAGCAAATCCAAGGGAAGAGATCACAACAGAAAATTTCTCAAACTAAGCACGAGGTGCTTGTTTGAGACCATACAACGCTTTCTTGAGCTTGCAAACATACCCAGAATCATGTAAAACACTAGGAGGGGGTGCCATATAAACCTCTTCTTGAAAATCTCCATTCAGGAAGGCATTTTTAACATCAAGTTGAGAGTTACGCCACTGACGAACCGAAGCTATTGCAATAAGAGTACGAATAATAGTCATTTTTGCAACAGGAGCAAATGCCTCCTCATAATCCATACCATACTGTTGAGTAGGGGTGGGCATGGGTTAGGTTGGGTAGGTTTTTTCCACAACCCAACATGGTCGATTTTATTTAAAATCAACCCAACCCAACCCAATTAATTGTTTAAACCCAACCCAACCCGATCAAGTTTGGGTTGGGTTGATCGGTTTGGGTTTCGGTCCAATTAAAGTTGGATTCAATTATATTTTTGTTAAATTTAGATAAATTTTTAAAGTTTGAAATTATTTGATAATCTCTGATTTTTTTTTTTAAATACCTATGTAAGGAATTCTTTTTAAAAAATGATGTATAAATAAGTTTAAAATTTATGAAGTATTTATTATTTTTTTTATTTTTTTTACAATTTTTTGGGATTTATTCATTTTGATTATCATCTCCTTAATTTTTACTTTATTATGAAATAACATTTCATTTGTAAATTATGTTTATAGGAATCAATCTATATAAAAAAAATGGACGTTTATAAATTATAAGTCATTTTCATATCTTTACTATTGTTTTTATTTAGTTTTTTTTTTCATCTTAGATATTAATTTTTTTTAAATCATCGGATTGGCTTAGGTTGGGTTGGGTTTTAAATCATAACCCAAAACCCAACCCAACCCAACCCAACCTCAAAAATATTTTTTCAACCCAACCTAACCCAATTGAACTTAAAAAACCAACCCAAACCGATTGAGTTAGTTTGGGTTGATCGGGTTGGGTTGGGTTTTGCCCAGCCCTACTGTTGAGAGTATCCCTTTGCAACCAACCTAGCTTTGTATCGCTCAGTTGACCCATCAGAATTAGTCTTGATCTTATACACCCAACGACAACCAACAACACTCTTACCAGAAGGTAAAGTAACCAAATCTCAAGTACCAGTCTTATGCAAAGCAGAAAGTTCCTCATCCATAGCTTGCTGCCAAAGAGGATCAAGAATTGCCTCTTTATAAGAAGAGGGCTCAGAGAGACAATGAATACAAGCTAAAAAGGTAGAAAATGATGAAGAATAACAAGAATAAGCAAGATCTGGTAACTTTGTAGACTTACGAATGCGTATGGATTGATGTCGAAGCGGATCCACAATCTCAAACGGAGCTTGAGGGACCGTAGGAGAAGAGGACGCTTCAGGTGTGCTGGAGAGTAAAGTGTCAGCACCTGCAAAATGATTAGTACGAATTGGTTGTAAAGACAACGGGGTAGGAACATGAGAATGGACATTTGAAGTAGTAGGCTCCTGAGAAGACAAACTATCAGGATTGTCAGAAAAAGGATCTATACGAATAAGATCGGATCTAGTCAGACTATAAGTAGTGGATGGAATAGAAAAGAAAGGTATGTGCTCGAGGAAAACAACATGACGAGACACATAAAGTTTGTGAGTTATTGGATCAAAACAACGATACCCCTTTTTACCTTCACCATAACCAAGAAAGACACAAATAGCAGATCGAGATGACAACTTGCTGAGTTCTACATGAGGACGAAGAACGAAACAAGTACAACCAAAAACTCTAAAGAGAGAATAATCAGGGGTATACCCATACAACTTTTCGAAAGGAGAAAACCCTGAAATATAAGAAGATGGAATTGTATTAATCAAACCTACAGTAGTAAGAACAGTTTTACCCCAAAACACACTAGGGACAGATGCAGATAATAAGAGAGAACGATCAGTTTCAACAATGTGCCTATGTTTTCTTTCAACAACACCATTTTGCTCAGGAGTATCTGTACACGAAGTTTGGTGAATAGTTCCATCTAAAGCAAGCAGCTCACAAAATTTATTAGAAGTATATTCCTCACCCAAATCACACGTAAAACATTTGACAATAGCAGAATGTTAAGTTTTAACAAGAGCACGAAAGGCTAAGTATATCTCAAAAAATTCAGAACGATGTTTCATTAAATAAACCCAACAATTACGAGTGTGGTCATCAATAAAAGAAACATAATATCGAGAACCTCCTTTTGTGGCAACAGGAGAAGGCCCCCATATATCAGAATGAATCAAATCAAATGGAGAAGAAGAAACAAAAATACTTCGATTAAAAGATAAAGCTGAAAATTTTGCCAGTTTGCATCCACTACAATTAGAAATATCACAAGGGTGTAAATTTCCTAAAGCCCCTGTAGAAGCTAAAAATCTCAAACAAGACGACGAAATATGACCTAGACGAGAATACCATAAATAAAAACTAGAAGAAGAAGGACTCAAACGAAACGAAGACAAATCAACACTAGTAGCGGCAGCAGCAACTGACACTTTTAGCTCATCCAAAATATATAGTCCACCTTCCTACGGTCTGTCCCAATCAGTTTCTGAGACTGCAGATCCTGCATTTAACAAGAAGAAGAGGAAAATGTGACTAAATTACCAGAATCACATAACTGACCAACAGAAGCAAGATTTAATGTGAGTTTCAGAATATGATAAACATTAGGGAGGGACAAGTGAGGTGTGACAACAGAACCAACACCTGCTAATGGCATAGGAGTGCCATCAGTAGTCATGATAGCAATAGAGTACGAAGGGGACACAGAAGCAGAAGACGAAGAATCTGGAGATATATGATGTGAAGCACCAGAATCCAAGACCTTTACAGAATGTGAAATACATGAAGAACTATGAGGCAACTGACCTATGGAAGAAGCAGACATAGCTTGAGGCTGTAAGGAGAGAAACTTCTGAAATTGCTCAGCCAAAGTACTAGGATCGGTGAAAGGACCTGATGAAGCTGCTGCTGCAGTATTAGATTGTAGTGGTCTATGAGCATTAGATCGTGATTGGTTGCTAGGCTTCCAAGCTTGAGATTGTTGCTGTAATTGATTCAACTGTCTCAACTTAGGACACTGAGCCTTCCAATGACCTTTATGCTTATAGAAACTACACTGGTCAAAGGCAACCCTTGTGTGAGGCTTATTTTGATTATTAGAGGATGGCTTAGAAGACACTGGTAATACAGAAGGATTAGAAGCAGAAAGAATTCCATTTTCAGCATAACACTTAAGACATATTTCTTCAGCCAATAACTCGCTGACAACTGAGTCAACAGAAGGAAGTGGAGAACGATGCAAAATTGAACCTCTGATTCCTTCAAAATCACTACGAAGTGCCGTTAAAAATTGTACCAACCGTTGCTGCTCTCTACGAGTAATATAGGCAGCATATGTCTTTAATTCTGTTGATTCTATAAAGGTCAATTGATCCCAAAGATCTGTCATAGCAGAATAAAACTCCTGAATGCTCATATTATTCTGATGAAAAGCTCGTATATCATTCTCCAATTGATACTGCTTTGCAAAATTTGACTGAGTGAATAATCTTTGCAAATGATCTCAAACCTCCTTTGTTGTCTCATACTTCGCCAACTCCCTACCTATGAAATGCTCCACGAAGTTGTTAATCCAAGTAATAATTTTTGAATTGTTTGATTCCCATGCATCTATCAAAGCAGCATAACCCTCATTGGTATTCTCAGGTTTCACAGAAGTTCCACTAATGAATCCCCACATCTTTTTACCCTTAAAAAAATTTCTCATCACGTAACTCCAATACGAATAATTCTTTCCATCCAACCTCACACTCACAGATTGAAGCGAATCATCTCTTTCAGTAGCCATAATAAAAAAATACCAAATTGCAGAAATACCAGATTGTAGAAATACCATATTTAACAGATTGCAGAAATACCAGAATAATTAAGTTGGATCCACGAAAGCTGTGTTTAAGATTAAGTTTTGTCCCATGAAATCTAGCTTTAATACCATGTTAAACAATCCAAAGAAAATAAAGAAGAAAAAGGAGGAGGCTAGGATTTTATTGATACTACGTAATTAATTGAATGTTAAACGATGGTTTAACCTAAATATAAAGAGAATATATATAGGCTAAACAAAGGAAACTAAAAAGGACTATTCTACCCTTAATAAATAATAAATAATCCTATATTTCTTAACAATGCGGACTTTGTTGGTCCCACTTTCTCGACTTACTTCTGAAGTTCAATTGATGATTATATAGTCAAAGGACGTATTTGGTATGCACTGTTGGACAAGAACAGTTGCAAGCACTTTAAACCTGGGTAAATTTGATCTCTTCGCAGATGCTTTTATTTGGTGGACAACATCCCAAAGTGTATAATCAAAGGGACTCAAAAAGGTTTTGAGTCTCAAAATATGCATCTTGAACTATGTCTCCAAATGACACTAGAATTGTCAATACTTCTCTTTTTTTCTACCTCAAATATCGTCTTAGTACAGTATTTTTCATGTTAGCAACAATTCAAAAGCTTGGAATTTTGACATATTCTCTCTTCCACACCAGGAAATTTGAATTGTCCCAATGATTTTTTGTATGTTAATCTCTGATGAAGTAGGGAAAATGTCCTAAAAGTTTATTCCTTTTTTTTTCATTATACTAGTTCTTTTCCCTTTTTGATCTTCCAAATGAAAATTATCATCAAACTGTTGTATACAGTGAAAATATTGAGCCTTTGTTTGGGCTTTGTTAAATGAGAAAATACATTTTCTTCAAAACTCATTTTCAACCACACATTATTTAATAAAATAATATTACACGTAAATAAAAAAAAAATTCATTGCTTTTTAACCACGCACTCTCCAAAAAATTACTACTTTAAAAAATATTTTTGTCCAAAATGTCATTAAAATGGAGCCCAAATAGTGGCTGAATCTTCCTCCACGTTCTCTGCTTGAAATAAAAATTTGTATTCGTCAAATTCATTGGATACTTTTCCGCGTTTATTTGTCTTCTTGAATTGCACATTTCTGCACATCAGTGGTATTTCATCGTCAAAAACATGAAGTCAATTATATTGCTTGTTTTATTTATTTCTAAAAGCCTTTTTTTTATTGTCATACTAGTCGCATGCCCGTGCAATGCACGGGCTGTGTTATTTTTTAAGATAATATTAGTGTGTCTAGCATTAAGGATTGATGAGAAACATGTGCATTAGATTGATTTGATAAGGTAAATTTACATATAATGTAACTAATAAAAACTATAGTCATGATG